GAAACCTCCCACCAGTTCTAAACTTAAACTACCGTGACCCGCCCCATTTGTTCTCCACGTGGTGAACTGGAGAACATTAAGCCACGTGGAAAGTGGTACTGTAAACACCGCTATCTTGTTAATTTGCTGCCTTTTACCAGGACAAACATTGGTGGGGATTCACCATGGTCGTAGAACTTAAACCTCATTATCACAGCCGTTGATCTTTCAATAAATTGAGATGGTTTTCGCCATCAGTAACCGCATCCTCTGCTGCTTCTTCCCCAACCTTTTTCTTTTGGTTTCTGAACTCTGCCTTTCTAATTTCTAGTACTGCTGAGTGTGCTTTCTTGATTCTTTACACGAGATAGATTGAGCTGGCACTGCAACTCGCCTGCGCAAGCTTCTAACAACTGTAAATGCGACGGAGGCGGCGGTCCCGGCGACCATTTATCCTGCTCAGATAGTGATAATGGAGTTGAAGATGAAGAAGGGATGCCCCTCCTGGGAGCTTCGAAGCCTGCTTTCTTATGCTCATTACCAGCAGATCAGCATTCAAATCAGCGAAGCAGAGAAGATGGTTTCCGGCTTTCCGCTGCGCTTCTTTATTTTTTCCAGCTATACTTAAGGTTTCTTTAGATCCTTCTCTTATTTTAAAAATTACTTTTTTTCCATTAGCGAGGAAGAGATAAACAGATATCTTGAAATAAACAGATATCTTGAAATAAACATAGGAATTATTTCTAGCTCTATTTTTCATTAATTAAACGAAATACAAATCTCATATAATAATATTTATATCAAACTTTTTAAGGTTTAAGTTTTTTGTTTATACTTTTTTCTTGCAGATTGCTTGGGAAAAGTGTGGAAGATGGGAATTTATGTGCGGTCGCTGTGATGATCTTGGAGTTTTGCAGATCTACCGAGATCGTGTGACATCTATTAACGAGATTTGAGGATCATGAATGGTTTGGTGGATGATCCTTTCTGTTAAGTCTAGATTCAGGTTAATGGTATAAGATCAAATTTGATTTGTGTATTATAGAGAAACATGTATAGTTGATATATATGTCAATGTTAGTGATGCAAGGAAGCTTGGATGGAGGCATGAGAGTGATGTTCTATTGTTTACAGATGTTTGATAGTTTGTAATCCCGGCCTTTGCTATGTTGGGTGCGCTCGCATGGCAGGCCAACTATCTTTAATAAAATTAATTTTTTTGTGGGGGTGGGAGATCGTACGGGGTGATTTTGCACCTTGGGTTCTCCCGTGTGCATCGTCTCTTGGTTGTTTTGTGTTATCTGTCTGCTTCACATGTTCCTACTACCTTGAGCTCATTTATCGGATGCGACGACATGATTTTAACATCGCGAGGTATACAACCAATAAATATCTAATTTGAATTACTTCTATTTTGAAAGTTTCGTCGTTTATCAAGGTATACCATCGCTTTATAACAATCAAAAGGTATGTATGAGCCAGCTAAAACTATCTCAAAGACAGTTTTTACTTATGGAGAGATATTATTTATCCAACTATTTAATTACTGATATTTAATCTGTTTTTAAATGGATGTATGTAATATTTCTCTATGAATGATCTAATTTAGAAGAACAAATTTTATTGCAACTTAAGTGACTTTTTTGTTACGGTGGATTTAAAAATGGTTGTGAAATTTAATTTCATAATTATTGTTGATACAATTTTTTTTTTAACTCTAGTTTTCATGAATCCTGATTTTGATTGCAAAGTTCTTGAAGATACATTTTTTTTGTCAATAAACTAGCTGAAATTATTAAATTTACTTATTCCCCATTTGAGTCAAAAATCATATGCGTTCTTGTTAAGCAAGTATGGCATGATGTTACCTAAGAACATCTTCTACACCAAACTGCAGTAAAATATTTACTAGATACTATCGATCTATATTTTTAACACAGATTTTTGTGTATGTATTATTTATGTTTTTTTGGGTGATAGCGGCAACTTCTTATGGAAGAATGTTTGGTTGGATATGGCTGTTTTAATATTATTTTTATGATTTCTAACTTTTTTTGTTTTTTTTAATTATCCTAACCAAATACTCTCTAGCTACTTTATCTAATTTTGTATGTGGGGGTGTGAATTATTTTGTTTGTTTTAAACAACTATGAAAAAGGTAAAATATTTTTATTTTTAGATTTTTATTTTTCTTGAGGGATTACAAATCAGAAAAGCTAATGAAACAAATTCAAGGATGAAAAATCATAATGTAAAAACCCTCAACAAGCCACAAAAATCATTGAAAGAATGAGGTGATAGAATAGAGAGTAAATAACCTACACATACAATATTTCAGGGTATTACCTAAAGTGATTTTTGAAGTACTATTATCAAAAAAATCTTAACTAAGGATTTGTTTGGGACAGCTTTCTTCCTGCTTCTTATAACAGCTTTTTAGTAGAAAAATTAAAATTATTGTATTAGAAAACTCTTTTAAGAAGTAATAAAAAAATCGTACTCATTGGTTACCCAAAAAAAAGTGTGGTTGGTTTAGTAGCTCAGGCTTCGTTTGAGACGACTTTCTTTCTGTTTCTTAAAGCATTTTTCTAGTATAAATTTTTAATTTTTGTACAAGAAAGCTACTTTATGAAGCAGTAAAAAAGCTGTCCCAAATAAAGCCTAAATGTGCTTTTCTTTGCAAGAAAAACAGACAGAATAAAGTAATCTAACCGGATGCCTTCTTCCCAAAACTCGGAATGCATCTAGTGGCGGCCCGATACAACACAATGTTTAGCTTGAAGACAATGGAACATACAATTAAGCTTGGATTTTGTCTTGTTCCTCATAATCAAGGAAACTAAGTTAAGTTTTATTTATTTCCTTCTTTCTATTGTATGGTTAATTTATTTGAACTGTTACATATGTTTATTAGAAGTTCGTTCATTACTTTTTAATTTGTGCCAGAAACTTGGATAGAACTTCTTGTTGCTTGGAGCTAGGAACTTGGATTGCATCGACAACTTGTTGAGGTGCGGAAGCTAGGAAACTTGGAATGGATCGACAACTTGTTGCAGCTCGGAAGCTAGGAAACTTGAAAAGGATCAACTTTTGGCATCTCGCAAGCTTAGAAACTGGGATTGCATCAACAACTTGGGGCGGCTTGGAAGCTCGGAAACTTGGAATGCATCTAGTGGCGGCCTCCCGATATAACATAATATTTAACTTGAAGACAAGAGGAGCATACATGGATTTTATTTTGTTGCTCATCATCAAGGAAAATTTCCTTCTTTCTATCCTATGGTTAATTTTTTTGCATTATTACGTATGTTTATTAGTAGTATGTTCTTTGGTTTTTTTAATTTTTGTCCATAAATTTACTGGAACTGCTTTGGTAGAAATATCGGTTCTTTATTTTTTTTCTCAATTGTTAATTGACAATGAGGAATTTCATTTCTCTTTCAATATTATATATTTGAATTTTTTTGTGTGTTTTGTTGAAATTGTTTTGCTTAATTTATAATTGATTATTTTTATCCCGTTTTTTATTTAAATAAATGCAATTTTTTTTGTAACTAAACTGTCTAAAGTGGCTCTTACATAATAATAACGGACTCAAATCAATAATTTGCCTATCTAGATGTATTCAATGGAAAATCTATCCTGCAAGGTTTTAATGACATTCAAATGCTTACTTGTTTGAAAATATTCCTTTCTAAACATTTTATATATCTATGTAAATTTTGTAAGTAGGCATTGTAAGTTTTTATTATATACCATGCTTATCTTTTTAGGATGTTAATGTTGGTGAATTGTTCGCAAAGATTTGAGTGCATTGTGAGTAGATTTATAAATATATGGTATGTACGAAAATTTATGATCGTGTATTTTTGAAAATTGTTGTCTTCAAAATCAACATAGTTGCATTTCATGCTCATATTCTTGTCAAGAGAGATTATTATATGCGGAATTTGGGCAAGTTCATTTTAAATTGAGCCCCCGCACGTACTCTCATGTCAAGCTGTTCGTCTTTAGAGTGGCCTATGATTAACAAATTATAATATTTTTTTAAAAAAATGAATTATGCCTGCCACATTACTTAGTAGAAGCATCCATGCATTGAAATAATTAGTTAAAATAGTAAAAATGTTTTTAAAATTAATACAAGCATGCAACGAAATTTTGTGCAGAATTGGTAAATATAAGTAATAAGTTAAATCGATTTAATGTTTTTTGTTATGAACCATCCATGCATTCAGAAATTTCAGAGGGTGGTGGTTCGATTCCGCCAGGATCACATTTTATTATGAACCATCAAGTCCTATTAAGACTTCGTTTGAGACGACTTTTTTGTTGCTTTTTAAAGAAGCTTTTTAGTATAAAATTTTTAAGAAGCAACAAGAAAGTCGTTCCAAATGAAGCCTAAGTCTTCTTTTTAAAGAATATATTATAGTTTTTATATTTCAACATAGAAATTAAAGGGTAAGGGGTAGCTTCAATCTCTAACAAAGTTTTTCGCTAGTTTTTTTAGAATAAAATATTTGTTTTTATAAATATTTTTGTATCGGACTACAGATGTTGGATTAGGGGTGTGAGTCGAGGATATGAACTCAATTTGATAACGAGCTTCAAGCTTGGGTTTGAGATAAAGTTAGAGTTAAGCTCAAATTCTAGCTTGAAGTCATGTTCTCTGGCAACATCTTCTCTATAGCAGTTGCGATCTGAAGGAGAAAGGAAAGGCTTCTCAAGCTATCTGTAACAGGAAAAATAAGGAGGAATTGAAGGAAGAGAGAAAGAAGAAAATTTCTGTATTGTCTTATCATTAAATAATAAATGTGTACAGTATCCTATCTATAGAGGCTAGAAGGCAAAAGTATAATTATTCAGCTAATAAAAAATTGACTTGTGTGAGGTTTAGATGGGTGAGCTGAACTTTAGTAGAAAAATGTACTTGGATGGCCTTGTCTCTTAGTATAATATCTATTTTTGAAAAATTATTATGTGTGGAGTTCAGACCCTAATAAAAATGCGCCACTTCTTATACCGAGCGGTACTGTGGCTTAGTACCGCTCGGTACCTAAGCGTAAACCGGAAAGTTCTCCTATCCGGTGTCCACATAGAATAATCTACCCTATAATAGAGTGATAATCCAATTTTATATATTTTGTACGGCATGAAATGCATGGTTGTTAGCTAAAGTTATGTTAGATGTGTTGTCGCAAAATAGTGAGGTAGTAGTTGATTGAGAACAATAAAATTCTTGCAGCAAGTGATGAATCTACATTATTTCAGCACCAATAGATGCTAAAGCTCGGTACTCGGCTTCATTATAGGAACGTGCTACGACATTCTATTTCTTAATGCTCCAAGAAATAAGAGAGGAGCTAAGAAAATTACATAAATTGATAATGCATTTACGGTCAGTATGATCTTCTGCCCAGCCAGAATTCAAATAGAAACATAGTATAAGATAGTCTCTAAATATAGGAAGGCCGGTATGCAAAGTTCCTTGAATGTATCTCATGAGATTTTTAAGAGCTTCAAAGTGGATATTTAATGGGTTTTGCATATATTGACATACTTTGTTAATGGCAAAAGATATATCTGATCTCATTAGTGAGGTATTCAAGCGAGCCAGCAAGTTGTCAGTATAAAGTAGGATTTAAAAAGATATTTGAATTGGTGGTAGTATGAGAAGTTTTTGTTTGTGAAGGGATTGAAACCAATTTTCAATTTAGCATCCCTACAGATTTGGATGATCTACGGATGACTAGGGTTTGACAAAATTAGAATAATAACAAAAATCTAGAAAAATTTGAACTATTGTTGATAAGTTTTTTTCTTTAAATGTTAGATATCCATGACAAAACAAGTGCATACAAAAAGTTTTAGATGCTCTACCCCTACAATGTCAAGATGGGAGGGAGATTTAGAGGGCAAAAGTACCGCTTATCAGTTGGAAGCATGCGGAGTGGCTCCTACCATACCGTGTCATAAGACAGTTTAGAGGAGCATTTTCCACTGATATTGAACCTAAGAACCAAAGTTTTAGGCAGATTGATGTGTGTGGTAGAGCAAATTTGGACTTGACCGTACAACATCGTGACTACCTCGAACTATGGGATGAGAGGAGGGCATATGTGGTTCCCATTATTTCACGAGACGGTACACCTAATCGGGAGATAGGTGCTTACCTTCGGTGGTATAGATCTTGGGATTTAATCTATATATTACAGTCACAAAGGGAGCCTCCAGAGACTTTCTTTACTAGATCATCAAACAAAAGATTAGTTGAACTTGTCATGAATTATAATAAGTATTTTATGGCTCGTTTTATTACTAAACTAATTTATTTAATTTTTTACTTGAAGTACTTATTACTCTATAAGCCGACTACTACATACAGTCTACTGTGATAGTGGAGCCATTTGCTGGGATGTGAAGGACAAAATGCTAGTTTGTTGTAGTTGGTTGTTGACGAAGTCGCTGAACTTTCTACCATAGTTCAATGATCAGTTTATATTGACTACACCATTTTTGATACAGTCATGAAGGAGCAAACCAAAAATAGGGAATGTGGAGCGAGTTTTTACAAAGCTCAAGGTCCTAGACGATCAACCTTAGATGCTCGATCCTAGTCGATAGGCAATAGGCGCCGTCAGATTGTCAAGAGTGATCCGCCGTGACTTTCCATATACATGACGTCCATTGATTATGACGTCACTGGAGCCGGACCTTCCACTCAATTTTGGAGCCCATGCGGTGGACAAGCTAGTGAACTAGCAGATGTATATTTCAGCGCGCAGTCCCAATAGCCCACCACATATTCATTATTCCTTATGGCTAGACTGAAGTTGATGTAATCAGTTGTCATGCCATCTTTCACCACGCCGCAAGATATAATGTTAATGAAGGGATATCCATTACAACAAGGTACACAAGTATCACAACAGCTTGTCGATGTTCATCAGCAGGAGGATGAAATGTCAAAGGATTCATAACTTTAAAGGAGATGATGAAAGGCCCTAATTAGATATATTTTAGAGAGTGGCGCACTACCTTGACATCATTAGTTGTAGCTTTGGGTTGTATTTTTTTCAGGATGTTTATGTCAATATATAGACGATTAATATTGTATTTCATAATATAAGCTTTAATTATTTATAAACTTTATATTAGTATTCATACAAAATTATAAAAGCATAACAATGAATTATTACGTATATAACTATATTGCTATTTAGGTTTACTATAACCTAAGATCCAACATGTATTGTAAAGTGGACACAAAAGAATAATTATTTAATTTTTTTATAAGTTGTCTAGTTTTTCTTACTGTCATTTAATACTATTCATTTTTTAATTTTCATGCTACATAAGAAGGCACTCGATAAGGAAGATCAACTCCCTTAGAGCTTATAATTTACCACTTCAGCTACATTACTCAATAATATACTCATCCATTATGGATAAGATCAAAAGTATCCCGACAAAGTAAATGATTATAGAGGGAAGTAGCCTCTTGCAAGAAAAAATCGCTTTCCCTATAAATAACATCCTCAAAGCTAAGATAACATCAAATTAAATATTTAGATGTATTATGCATAGTTGGGGGCAAGATGAGGATTGCTTACTATGGCACAAAATGTTGAAGTTAAAAAAATAAAACAATATAAGGTCGGCAGGGAACCTCAAAATGTTGGTTGAAAATATTTACAATAACAATTTATCTATCATGATGAGCAGCATGTATTATTAGATTTTCTGAAGGCTTAAATTCGTGAGCTTGGTCATTACAAAGAAGGTATATGTGAGAGCTCGTTTCTTTGATTTTCTTCCAGGATTGTCCGGGCCAATTTTAGATCGTCCTGGGACGATCAGTGCATGGCAAAAGTCAGTGAGCAAGGGTTTTTATCGTCCAAGGAAAATTAATTATCGTCCTGAGATATCATCCTAGACGATTGGATTTTGTTCATATCGTCCTGGACGATGTGGCGATCGGCCGGGCCGATCAGGTTTGTTTTAAAAGAAAATCAGCTCGTTTTGATGAGAGAGAAAATCATTTTTTATAAAAAAATATCTGAGGAGAGAGAAGGAGAAGGAAAGCAAAGGAAAAGCTGGATTTCGGAGGCCGCGGAGCGCTTTTCGTCCGACGTAGCTGTTGGGAGAAGTGTTTATCTCGCAGTAAGGACTCCGAATCCTATTTCTGTTTTCGAAGATGCTGAGTTTTGATAATTTTGTGCTCAGATTTGTGTTTTCGTTACCGAAAAACGCGCACCGTTTTGTA